CCAATCACCCTTCACTGCAGACTGCAAAAGCCATTGTACCCCAAATGATGCTAACTGAGCAAGGAAACACTGACAAATTCTGGGTCAATTTCACAGGCACAACAGCCTAATGAGACGAGACTGTCTGCATTATACTGGCCACATACGCAGGGATTTACCATGAATACCAAAGTCAACAGAGAGCTGAAAGTATAGACAAGTTCCACAAGCAAAGTTTCACATTCTTTTCCTGATGTTATTCAATGCCATGCTCTTCCACCATAGAGAATACACTGCAAGTGTGATTGTAAATCATCCAAAGTGGACCTGTCACCAGTGATTAATGGAGGAATCTCAAATAATCAATAGTGCATCGTCTGCTTTGTAAATATTGTCAATAGCATTTTAGGAGAATGAAAGAGGAAGACAGAGCAGCTTTTGTGGTTTACAGGATGTTATTTAGAGGAAGGGGAAACCTCAGAATGAATAGCTGGTGTACAGTACACAGGGAGTAATTGAGAAGTAGGGTTTTGGGAAGAAAGGAAGAAACAAATAGTGGAAAGCAAGGGAGAGAGAAGGGGAGGGATGAAGACAGAATAGAGGGAAGTTAGAAGGGAGGGAGGAAGGATGGAAGGAAACAAAACAAAGGATGGAGGCAAGGGGGGGAGAGGAAGAAATAAAGCAATACATGGAGGAAGGGAGAGAGGTAGGAAGGAAGGGAAGGATGAAGGGAAAGAAGACGGAAAGGTTGAGGGAGGGAGGTAAAAAGAAAGGAGGAAAGGGGGGAGAGAAGGAAGGTGGGACAGACGGAGAGAGGAAGGAAGTGAAGGATGGAGGCAAGGGAGGAAAGGAAGGATGAAAGCAATAAATGAAGGGAAGGAAGTGAGAGAGAAGGGGAGAGGAAGGAAGAATGGAGGCATGTTGGAAGGTAGGGAGGAAGGATGGAAGGAAGGAAACAAAGGATGGAGGCAAGGGAGGGAGGGATGGAGGAAGAAAAAAAGCAATAAATGAAGGGAAGGAAGGGAGAGAGAGTGGAAGGAAGGGAAGGATGAAGGGAAAGAAGACAGGTTGAGGGAGGGAGGTAAAAAGAAAGGAGGAAAAGGGGGATATAAGGAAGGTGGGACAGAGGGAGAGAGGAAGGAAGTGAAGGATGGAGGCAAGGGAGAGAAGGAAGGAAGAAAGCAATAGATGGAGGAAGGGAGGGGGGAAGGAAGCAGAGAATGAAGAGAAGGAAGGCAGAAAGGGAGGAAGGAAGAGGGGGAGGAGTGAAGGAAAGAGAGAGAAGGGAAGAGAGAGAGAAGGGAAGAAAGAAAATGAAAGAAAGAAAGAAAGAAAGAAAGAAAGAAAGAAAGAAAGAAAGAAAGAAAGAAAGAAAGAAAGAAAGGGAGGGAGGGAGAGAGGAAGCAAGGAAGGAAGTAAGGAAAGGATGCATGGAAGGAAAAGAGGGAGAGGGGAAGGAAAGCAAAGGAGGGAGGGAGGGGAGCGAGAGAGAGAGAGAGAGAGAGAGAGAGAGAGAGAGAGAGAGGAAGGAAGGAAGGAAAGCAAGCGAAGGAAGAAAGGAAGGAAAAATCATATACCATGCGATACTGAGGTAAATAAAGTAAGGAAGTAAGAAAAAAAGATATAAGTTGCAGGGTGGAAATTGTTCAAAGCAAGTGCACGTTGTATCCAGCTTCTGACAGGTTGCGCTATTAGCGTAGCAGAGGAGCCCGCTGTGCATTTTGCCTGTCCTGTCAGAAGCTAGATACACTGTTCAAATAGTAACAGGCGCGCACTGTATCAATTCTGCCAGCGTCAGAGAGCGGAGGATGAGCTTGTGGGTGGTTTTGGGTAAGGATTTTTTTTTTTTTTTCTCTTAATGGAAGCTGAAGCTCAGCCTCACTGGTTTTGGGGCCATGTTTTTTTGCCACCCCACTGAAAAGTGCCGCCTAAGGCAAATGCCTAATTTGCCTTGCGTTAGATACGCCTCTGCTTTAAACAAGCCATAGCCCCAAAATGATACTTCCTACCTTGTCTGACTGCCAGATAAATCTTTTTGTAGCCATTAGGACATTCACGATTTTGTCACATAATGTACAAGTCTATGTCAGACATTACCTGAACGACATCATCTCGGTAGAATCCTATTAAGTCCAAATAAAGATCTGGCAGGAAAACTCGGAAGATGGCCACACCACTGTCACCCATTCCATGTGAAATGAACAAAAGCAAAATAATTTAATATCTTCAGGAATTTCTGCTGCATCCTGGTCATTTTTACACTTCACGGCACCTCACCCTGTCTTACTTTCTACTGTTTTGCTTTTCTTCAGCTTTTGCTGCAGGTTCAATAAACCCCAGTGGACTAAACAATGTTTTCCAATTGTGGTTGGCAGGTCACATTGGACCCTAAACCTAAACGTTATACCCCCCCATGCCTCCCATGTCTTGCTCTCAATCTCCCTCATCAACTCCTCCCATGCTCGCCTCCAGGACTTTAGACTCTAGAGTTTCTCCCATCCTTTGGAACTCCTTACCCAACCTGTCCATCTATCTCCTACTCTGTCTGTCTGTAGGCGATTCCTAAATACTCATCTCCTTAGAGAAGCCTATCCCACCTCAAACTAACCAGTGAACTATCACTTTCTCATACAATTCATTCCCACACAGCAACCTCCTCATGTATCACTTTCCCCTCCCTTTTAGATTGCTAGCTCTCATGGGCAGGGCCCTCCTCACCATCTTGTCTTTAGTTGTATTGTACTTTAATGTCTTCCTTATATTCTAAACATAACTGAACTGGAAAGTGAGTAGAATTGGAGAATTTTTCCAAATCAGCTATGTTGTCCTAGATTGTTGTCTTCTCCAAACCCTTCACCCTTTTATAAATAACCCTGATAGCATTCAGCAATGGAACAAAAATATATTCAACCTTATACTCAGGTCCATATGCTCCTGCTGTAATCCATCACAGAGATAGAGTAGTTCCAGGCAACAAGTAAAAAACAATCAGCTACTAATGCTATCCAGCAAACATTGCAACTCTGCTAAAATCAGCAAGTTCACTCAGCTGAGATATCTTCAACCCACTGCAGCTGGAATTCACAGGGCACCTCAACGGTGGGTGTGTATACAAGCTTAGTAACTGCCTCTATATCTCTAGTGATCTCTATATCATCAATCACATTCAAACTTCCAAGGCAGGTTTAACTATTACAGTGGCTGTGGGAACTGGGATTTTTTTTTAAAGCAGGCTTCCTGTATGTACGCCTACATTGTGTATGTTTCTGCCTTCTGAATTCCTGTCCTGTATCACAAGCAGGTGTTCAACAGGGTACAGACAAAAGGGAGCGGGATGGGTTGATGTATAATAGCAATGCTGGAATTAAAAAGTCTGTTTGTATCTCAAAGTTTTGTTCAGCTTTAAATGGAGTGCACCTTTAATTCCAGGACTCGTTGGTACTCCTGGCTGTCGTGGTATTCTTTCAGAATGTTCTTATTTTTCCCCGAGGACATACTATCTGGGATCTTTTGATGGACATACTTTCAGTTAGTAGGATGAAGATCTGCTTATCATGATATCAAGGAAGTGATGGGAAATCTTTCCAACGGGAACACAGACAATACCACATTCATGACTCCAACTGGGTCATGAAAAAGCCTGCCAGAAGTTTTAGCTCATTCTTACTCTGTCCCAAATAAAAAAGACAATAATAAACTAGCAGAGGTTCTGGCATTCCCCCTTCGTAACATTTTCTACTTCTATCTATGTTGCTGTTGGAGATTTTCCTTCACTTCCTGTCTGGGGAAAATGTTGTCCCCGGGGTTGTGAGTAAAAACAAATCTCTCGAACGGAATCCTAGACAGCAGTAAACTCTGACATCTTCAAATAAAGAGTTTTAAAGTCTCAGCACACCATATCCTGTTATAACATCAGCATTGTAATAGGAATACATACTAGGCTTCATACTAGACTTGTTATTGATAATAAAATTAAAGCTTACTTGGAAAAAATCCCTTTTATGTAGTGAGTGCTGCCTTCCGTCCGCCCATCACTTCCACCAACTTCCTGGATTCCCATTGTGTTTTGTGTCTCTTTTCCTGCTGCTTGATTTGATGCAATCTCCACTTGTCAGGACCACAAATCCCATCATGCATTGCTTCCAGCAAGCAATGATAATGTTACATTGTTAGACGTTGAGTTGTAGTTCAGATGGCAGGCTCTGTGAGAGTTGAAAAGCATATTCACAGGGCTGAGTCAAACTGTGTCAGTGCATTGAAGAAGTACATACTATGGGCATCTTCAATGAGAGAGCTCACAAACTTATAGATGGATCTAGTTATTAGAAGAGGGATAGAACGTATGGAAAGTTAA